ATAATAATAACGACAACTCGGCGGCTAAAAAAAAAATTATTTGGAGAAGTGTCGTTGGCTCGCGCACGAAGCGACACTACCGCGCCAGCGCCACGCTACCTCACGCCCTAGCAGCTCTCGTAGCGGAATGATTACGGAGAGAGGGAGAGGGGGGGGGGTTAAATTGTCAAAGGGTAGGGAAAGCATCATGCTTGCGCTTCATACTGTAGTTAGCCTCCCTCCACCCCCCGCCCCTTTGCCCACGCAAAATATCGCGAGAGCCGTGTCGCTTTGCAAGCAAGCGCGCGCGCGTGACACCGGCACCGGCGGGGGGTTGCCTGTGCGAAAGGGGGAAGCGGGCGAGCGAGCCAGCAAGAGAGAGAGAGAGAGAGAGAGAGAGAGAGAGAGAGAGAGAGAGAGAGAGACAGATACAGAGAGAGAAGAGGGGTGAGGGAAGGGGCGAGACCAAAGGACACATGCGCGCACACACACACACACACACACACACACAGTACGCACCGAGCAGCAGCTGTAACACATACATAGCACTATTGTGCTCTCTCTCTCTCTCTCTCTCTCTCTCTCTCTCTCTCTCTCTCTCTCTCTGTGGATCAGATAAAAGTGCAAAGCCAAAACCCCTGCCTCCCTAACCAGAGCCGCCGCCGCCACCACCGCGCCGCGTCGCATTTCCTCATTTAGAGTTGGCGCCTTCAATTCATTCTCTCTCTTGCTCTCTCCCTCTCTCTCTGTCTCGCTTTCTCTCTGAACTGCCCTCGCTGCACACAGAGCTCGCCCGAGAGCAAGTCTTATTGCAGCGGGACGGTCCGCCATTGTTTGCCCGAGCTTCTCATCTGAAACTTGTCTCCAAAAGCGCCCCAGTGACACGAGAGTAGGAGCGAAAAATGTTCCAACCTGCCATGCTCATTTCGATCGTTGCTATTTCTTATTGCGCTCAAATTGCAACGATGCTGGAGGCAGTTGAGAGAAGACACCTGCGTGCACGTACACACAGCACAATCCGAGTGCTTGAAATGTCGCACACTTTATAAGTGTATGATTTCCCATTCGCCTGCATGTAGGGTGTGTGAACTGATTCTGTAGTATGTATGGAATTCCGAAGGAGCATTCATCATCACACTGCTATTCTTGTAAGGGTACGAATAAAAATTCACATTCCTGAGGAAAATTGTGCAACATTTCAGGCACTTAGGCTTCTTGTACCTTGTACTATGGACTTTAATAAAATATGTGACCACTTTGTAAAACATACCCTCGGAAAGTTACAACAATTTGTTAATTTTCATTTGCAAAATAGGTTGTAAATTTGCCTCAGCCCATATTCTTCGAGCCATTCTTGCTTGTCGATAAAATTCCAAGTCGATACGAATGTGCTTGTAAATTTACAATTTTAAATTGTAAGTATCATGGAAAATGTTCCCGTAAACCTACGACTATTATTCACGATGCAATATATTTGCGAATAAAAAAA